AGTGTGGAGCCTTTCAGCCGACCCGCCCACCACCACCACCACCACCTCTCTCTCTCTGTGTGTGTGTGAGTGGATGCATTTCGGCGGGATATGACGCAGTTGGAAGGGAGCCAAAAAATAAAAACAAAAGAGTGGGGGGAAGAGGGAAGAGGGAAGAGGGAAGGGAGGGAGTGATGGATGGAAAAGAGGTCGGGCCAAAGAGGTGGCCTTTTTTTCTTCCTTTTGTTTTGTTTTGTTTTGTTTTGTTCTTCTGAATGGGATATTCCCGCTGCTGGGCGTAGTGCGTCTCCCTCCCTTTTGGTTTTTGTTTTCCTCCTCTTCTCTCTTTCCCCACCCCCCTACCCGCGGCGGCAGCAGCAGAAAACAAAAAAAAAAAAGAAATGAAATGAAGAGAAAACACGTTTTTGACGTGAGTGCGCAGAACGCCAGGCGCACACGCCGGTGTTGTCCACATTTGTTTTTACTCTTCTCTTCTCTTCTCTTTTTTTTTTTTTTCTTCTGCTCCGCCGGCACCAAAAGGAAGAGGAATAAACACAAACAATCGAGAGAAAAAAAAAAAAAAAAAGAAGAAAAGAAAAGAGGGAGCCACGTGGAGTTGCACGGCACAGTTGTGTTGTTCTGCGGCCAAAAGAAGAAAAAAAAAAAAAAGGACGCAGAGGGAGTCAATCAACAGGGAGAGAAGGGAGGGAAAGAGAGAGAGAGTCGTAAGCAGTCTGGGTGATCACTTCCCCCCTCCCCCCTCCCCACTGCGGCGGTGCTCTCTCTCACACACTACACAAACACTGCACACTTACCGCAGGCGATTCCTCTCAACGGATGCCAGAATCATATATTGTCCGTTTTAAGGTATTGAAGGTGGAGTCTGTCGCGTTGGTGGATGGCAGACAGTACACCATTTCGTACCGCCGCGGCGAGACATCCCGTTCCACGCCCTGTTACATCGCGGAGGGAGGTGCCGTCGACTTCAGTACAATGCCTGAGGGGGCGGCCATTGTTCATTTCAAGAGCGGTGGAGCGAGGTTTCTTCCAAAGTGGATCACCTTCCGCCTGGAGGAGTATATACGTGGTCGGCCCCGAAAAATGATTGGGGAGACACAGCTTGACTGCGCAGAATTGCTTGGGCTGCGCAGCATCACCGCATCTGCACGTCGGCGTGTGATTTTCAGCGTGTATGGAACATCCGCCCAGATGGTGGTTGCGCTCCTCGTGTACCCCGCAAATCACCCGGCGCTCTCCTTCGGCGACATTGCCTCCACGACCGGGAGCGACGGCCAAAGGAGCAAGACGAAAAATGGGGAGGTCAAGCGGATGACCCGCGGGGAGGCGATGACGCTGCTGATATCTCTCGAAGCCATGCTTGAGCGCCGCCGCAAGGAGGAACCGAAGGGGAAAGAACCGTCCAATTTGGAGCGGTGCCTGGCGGAGCTGGAGGAACGGCGCCGTTCACTCACCGGCGTAGATGGGATGGCTACCGCAGTGGTGAAGAAGCGCGCGGAGGATGTGGTGGCGGCGCAATTTCTTGCCCTCTCCCGTAAGTATCGCGCCAACTACGCGGGGGAAGTTGCCGCCTATCTCCGTCAACTAGCCGTCACGAGTGGACTCCCGCTCACCGCCGACATCTCTGAGGAGGCGTCACCTGACGCAGAAGGGGCACGAGAACGGCTGCAACGCATCAACGCCCGCATCGACACTTTGTCAGGCCAAGTGCGGAAGCTGGAGGAGGAGCAGCTGTCCCTTGGACGGCAGCAGAATAGGACTGATATGAAGAACGAACTGTGCGGCATCACAAATAAAATGGAAGCCCTTCAGTCGCAAATTCAGTTGCTGCTGAAGACGCGCTCGGCTCTGGAGGAAACGATCCGCGGCAAAGGCACTGACGGCACACCGATTGGTCGCGAGGTGCACGACATCCGCCAACGACTTCGCGCCCTTACGGAAGAAGAGGCAAAACTTCGGGAGCAGGTACGCCGCATGATGAACGTCGCCAGCACGCACGTGTTGAAGTGGGCACGCAGCAAAAACCCGCCGTTGGAAGACATTCAAACTGACCTCGCGGCTCTTTTTGCGGCGGATGCACCATCACAAGAAGCGAAGCAGGAGAAAAGCGCCCCGAAAGTCCTGAGTTCCGAGGAGCGCGGCCAACTCGTGGAGGCGCTGTCAAATGTGGCCAAGGTGTCCGCCCCTCCCGTGCGATCGGAGGTTTCGAGTGAGATGGAGGAGCCACCGAGTCGGCAGCCGCAGCAGCAGGTGGATTTATTTGGGGCCACGGGACTCCCATCGGTGGGGGACTTTGGCGGCTCTGCGACCAAAAAAGGGCGGAATGAATCCACCACCTTCTCGAAGACCGACAAAGACGCTGAAAAACACGTGGATCCGTTCATCTCCGATCTTAAAAGCGATATGTTTGCCCCGTCGGCAGTGTCGGAGCATAAAAAGGACACGTCTAAGGTCCATGAGTTTAACTTTGGCGCCACAGCGGAGGAAGACACCGGGGCGGTGGGGGTGGGCGGCAGTAGTGAGTACGCCACGTTCTTCAAGGACGTACATGACGCCGCAATGGATTTGGGCACACCGCCTGTTGTGGATTTGGTTTCTATTGAAAACGATCCCATGTATGATTTTCATCCGCCCCCCGAGGCCGTCAGCACAAAACCCTTCACCATTGAGTTCGAAGAGTCGCCGCTTTATCACGGCTTTGATGGGGATGCCGCAACAAATCCCCCTGCCTTTATATTTGAGCCGGAGGGTCATCAATCAACCAATTCCTACACGCACGCTTTGCCGACATATAGCTTTGGTCCCGATAGTGCAACAAAGAACTCTCGCACCGCAAATGCCCCGCGTCTACCGACGTATGACTTTGGCAGTTGAGGTTGTGGGAAAAAAAAAAAAAAAAAAAAAAGAAAAGAATGAGTTGATATGAAGAGTAATGCAAGATTAAAAAAAAAAAAAAAAAAGAAAAGGAAAAAGAGTACCGCTTACAATGTGCGCAAGTGAATTCGAATATATATTTATTTATATAAGTGTTAATGACCTTCCCCAATGAAGAAAAAAAACGACGAAAAATGAGGGAAAGAGGAGAAACCAGAGAGTTTTTTTCTTTTTTTTTCACAATGGGGATGGAAAGGGAGGTGGGATTGATGAGCGGTTCATTTGTGAGAGATATGATGGTGTCGGCTTATATTGATTGACGCCATCTACCTCTCTTCTTTTTTTTCTTTCTTTCTTTCTTTTCCTTCCTTGTGTGTGCGTGTGTTTATCAGACGTACTGCGTGAATGTGCATTCCCTGGACTCTCCTTCTTGCATCTCACCCAGTCTGTGTGTGTGTGTGTGTGTTTGTGGACGCCTCATTGCGCCGCTACCTTCACCAGGGTGCACTGCATTTGTGTGTGTGTGTGGGAGGGGAGGGGTTTTTGTCCGTTAGCAGGCGTCTTGTTTTTCTTTTTTTTCTTTTCCTTCTCGCGTGTGACCCTGATGAAAGAGCCGCGGTGTTGGGCAAGACGGCAGTTGCGGCGCGTCTGTTGGGTCAGGTGAGAAGCAAACCAAAAAAAAAAAAAAAAAAAAAGAGAGGGGTGGAAGCATACATATACAAGGAGGGAAAAAGGAACATGCGTAGACCGATTCTTTTTTCTTTCCGCCGTGCCTCTGGCTGCGTCACTGCCCGCATGTTGTATCTTCGGTCCGCGTGTCTCCAGCAACTCCGTTTTGGGCACACGCTGCCACCAGGTTTGAACGACGCCGCCCGTAGCGCTGCTTTGGCATCTGAAACAAAAGCGACAAAGGGAGAGGCGAGTCAAAGCCCCTCGCTTGTGGCCAAAAGCGTTGGAAGGGCATCTGGTGTTGCATGTTCTGCAGCCCACGAAGACGGAACGTTTGGCAGTCTCCGACTTAGCAGCAGCGGCCCTTCTGGTCTTATCGAGGAGGCTACGATGGAAGGTGCACGTGATGAAGTGATGGCGCCGAGTCACGCGGGCGATTGTGCCGGAGACTCTGCAGAGGCCAAAAAAATGATTCTGGAGGAGGGGGCGGAACAGGCAGGTGGGAAGAACGTGAATGGCACATCTCACGCCGATGAAAAGGAGAGTGAGGTACGTGTTTTTGTACGGGATCACATGCGCAAAATTGTCAATGTGAAACGTCTTCATTCCTTTGCGCAGCTGAGGAACAAGCTGCCGCGGTGGTTGTTCTATGGTATCCAGCAGTCGGGGTACATAAAACCAACTCTTGTACAGTCGGTGGCCATTCCGCTTTTTATGGAAAGGCGAGATGTCGTGGGTATCGCCCCAACGGGGAGTGGCAAGACGGTGGCATTTGCACTGCCAGCCCTTGCTGCCCTGCCGCCACCTGATAGCCGTGGAAATCACGAGAGCAATCGTGGGAATGCGGACAATCCCGTGGTTGTGAGCCCCAACGTGTTGGTTCTATGCCCCACGCGGGAACTGGTGCAGCAAACGCGGAATGTTATCTCCCAACTGGCAGGGAATGCTGTGCGTGTGAAGGGGGCCTTCGGCGGACAGGGTCGGGAGCAGCAGATGGAGCAACTGCGGCGATGGGGTGGCTGCGATGTCCTTGTCTCTACTCCAGGGCGCCTCTGCGACTTTGTGGAGGCCGATGTTGTGAGTCTAGAGCATGTCGGCTTTCTTATCCTGGACGAGGCAGACCGCATGTTGGAGCTTGGCTTCGCCCCACAGTTGGAATTCATCATGTCAACTATCCGAAAATTCAAGCGGCCACGGCAAACGACAATGTGGACTGCAACGTGGAACGCCACGGTTGGTAGTTTGGCCTCGCGTTTTTTAAAGCCAGAGCGCGTGTTTTTTGAGGTGGATCGTGAGCATAAAATGAACACCGACATCACACAGAACTTGTATCCTCTTAAAGATCCCTCGCAGCGCATCCACGCCATTGTGAAACTGTACGAGAATGCCATCATCT